ATGAGATGTGCCGGAAGGAAAAACAAGGCAATTACTCTGGCTTGTAGGTACAAACTAGTTTCATATACATAGTAGGGCTAGAGATTATGGTGGTTAGCATACATTTTGAAGGTTTGCCAAAATTTGCTTTAGGAATTACATACTATTGGATTAAGCCATTTTCCCTAATTTGAAAACTTGTACCTAATATTATTTACTTGATTTGCCTAATCATTTGATCGTTGGTCACACTTTCAATGAGGAACACTAATTCCCGATGGAGAAACTCTTTTATTTCCTTCTAGTATGCAAGGAAATCTATTCTAGCTACCACAACTTTTGTCCCATAAGGGAGAGACAGAAGCAATTTTAGATAAGATAACTGTTTCTATCTGGATGCAAGGACATGCCTAACAACTTCTGAAATTCTAGGTGTCTTTTCTTTCCTACTTTTGTATTTATAGCCTTTCAGCTAATGTAGCATCTGCAAGGCTCAGGGCTGCAGCCTGCAATCTTAACAATTGACTTTTTTTCATAAACAGCCCTAGAGCATCAAGCATAACTCCAATCTATATATCAATAATAACTATAAATTTCTTCAACCCTAAACTTCAAATACCAAAATATTGTAGTCATATACATCACTGAGATTTATAAATCCTGCATCAGCAAGCCATTTGTTCTGCATCAATTTGGTATTTTAGCATTTAAGGCAGCTAAATTCATCATGTATTACTAAACATTAGATAGCTTAACCTTGGGAGGCTTTCAGGTACTTAACCATGTGCAGATTTGTTTAGAAAACCGCAATTAATAATTTCAGGGATGCATAGCCCTATTCAGAAATCTAAATCCAAATAAGAGTCCAGCCGACTGTACTGATTATTATTGTAGGTTATTTGTTATAAGAAAAGCTATTCAAGGAGGGACACCATCTATGTTGCCTTCTATGAATAGCCAACCTGGTTTTGCTACTGGGGGATGAATCTTTCAAAATAATTACGAATATAATTAGCCTCTAAATCCTCTGAATGATATCAACTATGCAAAACAATGAAATATCTATTGTGCTAACATACCTCATGTAACTCAGACATCATTGAATAATCACTGAACCAGAAAATTTGCAGGTTGCAAGTTCGTAAACCTGAAATGGAAATATAGAAAGGTCAAATCAGATTTTAAATAGCTCACATAAGGTACCACAACATGCATAAGCATAAATAGTTAAAAATTTAAAAAGAAAAAAAAGGAAGATAAAATAAAAAGAATACAACAAGTAATAGTTGAATAAGTAGGGAGAGGGATGTGATAAAAAGAAGCGGGGGAGGAAGAAAGGAAAGAGATAATAACTATCAAGATAGATAGCACCACATTTTATTTCCTCAAGCCGCTAATCTAATACAAAAATAAACAGTTAATTTACAATATGTGACTGAAGACTACCAATGAAGATCACAAAGCAACCATGTAAGTTTTGATAGCGGATAGAACAATAACATATAACATAATTGCATATAACTAGATCTGGCAATGAGGGCAGAATCAGATGCCAGAACAGCAGCCCCAGGATAATGCAGATGTTATCACATGCTCACACTTGCACCTCAGAAAAATTTATGGCAGCACATAGAAAAGACAGGCCAAAATGATATATGCACTTTTCAGATAAGAATGCTTTTGCACTCTGATCTGCTGGAAATAAATCTAGCAAAAATCCAACATAGAAGTGTAAAGTTCTGAATCCAGGAAAGGAGCTAGTGCAAGATAAAAAAATAAAAACAGTTCAATTTAAGGTATAGCTTTAGCTTTTCTACAATTCTTAAACTCTGTAGGATGGCAGACACTAGTAGCCACTTGTATTTCTTCATAATAGACCTGCAATATAACACCAAGAGCTCAACCTGAAAACATAGCCTATACTTTCTTTGCAGTATTACTTGTACTGTTCCTTGCTTCTACATGATGCATAACAACTTAATTCCTTGACTCTTCACCACTAATACCTTCATCAAGTTGTCTCTTCAATTATGTTTCCAGAACTCTTTGCTTCTGAGCACAAATGGGCAATTGTCGATAAAACTTACATTCAAGAAGAACAAACCAAGCCTGCTACATAACTACATAAGAAACTAAATGAACTGAAGCATCATCCACTCATTAATAGCTATCCACTCATAAACGTACTGCAAAGAGACTATACAAAGCATATGACATATTCCAAATAGCTCCATAGAACAAGTGTGAAACCATCACCACAGTTCACACATTGTACTTTCTCAGTATTAAGTCACACATAAACATACAACAATAAAGGAATGTCACAAGGCACTACTCAACCATGGATTGCAACACATACAAAATTGTTACTAATAATAAACTTCTGGCAAACTACCCATCTAAATGAGGAAGAGAATGAAAATCCTTGTACTACGAGCACAACGCACAACCAACAACGGAAAGCAAAAAATGAAAAGAAGGTGATTTTCTCAGAAATTTATGTCACTTACTTGACCAGCAAACTCATCCAGCATCATCTTTGTTGACAATGTCTTGGCAATGTGTCGCATACCTCATGCAATGAATAAGCTTCTTCCAGCACTTACTTGCTGTTTCCCAAATGAAACAAGACATGGATGGAAATCCCTTAAAGAAGTTAAGGGTTTCTCCTGATCCCATTTTCACACAATAAAGACATTGAGGAGATACTTCCAACCCATAACAAACTCTTCTATTCTCAATAATTTGCTCCCACTGTTTAACTGGCTGCATTTCAGTAACTTAACAGGCCCCACAGCAACTAAGACAATGATTTACAGCAGGTAACATGAAAATGGACTCCTATTAGGGATGAGTAATCAGCACAAATCCATCTCCTTGTAGCAGTACTAGTAACAGTAGAAAGAGAGGAACAGAGCAAGGGAGGGAGAGTAGACTAGAATTTACAAGCACACAAAATGGTATCCGGTAAGCATAAGATCTGAGTTACAAAACTCAAATCTAAGGATTGCATGCTGATGTAAAACAACTACCTAAAATCTTCCTGGGACCACCAAGCCCCCAGTTAGCTCTTAAAACCAAGAAATAGCTTAAAGCTTATCTCAAGACTGGTCAGGGCTGAACCAAAATTCATATATAATTACTTTAGAAAAAACAGACTGGTATTCACTGAAGCAACAAGATTATAACTTAAAAGACTAGCCAAATACTTATCTAAGACTCATTGCTCTAAGACCCAAACGAACAATACAGCCTAAAGGAGAAAAGAAAAGGGAAGAACACAGACTAGTAAAAGGAAAATTTGTTAGTAAGAGAACATTTGATCGACAACTAGGCTCTTTGATGTTTAACCCTATGAAAATGTGAGTACATAAATTATGGAGAAAATGTAATAATGATATATACACAGACACCAGAAATTTACTTTTAACGATGAAGAAGAGAAGCAGCAGCTGTGACAATAACGGTAGTACCAATGGATGCATGCAAGCAACCCAAGGTTTTTAAATCAAGAGGAAAGCCATTGTAATTATGCACAAACTCAGATCAAGAAAGTTTAAATACTATAGGATACAGAGGATAGAAACCATTATTGTAGATATTAAGTACACATTAAGAAATCCCAAAACACATTGCCCTTCAATCATATAATGGCATATTCCTATCCAAAGGCAGACATACACTACAGATTTCAATGTCTGATAAAGTTTACATAGGCCATAATATGAGCTAAATTACTTCATTACCTGCTTTATTGCCCGACCCTACTTAAATGCCATCACTCAATCCAAAAACCCTATAACCAGTCTTATCCCATGTCACTAAGTTTAAGGCAATCTGGGTCTTTTGTTCACCTTGTGAAAACAGAATCTCTGATCCTCTGATCTGGGTCCTGGTTCGAACAGGTAAGATATAAAATATTAAAGTACCCCAGCCATAAGATTTACAATTATACCACCTCCATGTATTCAAGAAAACCTTATTTGACTTAGTGATTCCATAATACCTTCAAATTCCAGAAGTATATTCATAAACAATTCCATAAAGTTGAAATAAACATTCAACTTAACGGAAGACAAAGATTAGGAAGTACAACTAGAATGTTACTTATATTTCCTAGACTAACACAAAAGAATGAAAATATAAAACTATGTATGTTACTTATTTGTTATACAACAGCAGTTAGCCTTTCTTTGCACTTGGGCTGCAGTGTTCATACAACCTCATGCAAATCGTAGAGAACATCATTCCTGAATTTCCGGCAATAGCTTGGGGCAAAAACATGGTATAGGCTGTACAATAAAATAGTTGATATAACCAACCTTCTAGATGATAAGAGAAGCAAGTCAGACATATTTGGTCCAAGCAACAGAGGGCAGCCAACAATCCTACTCTCCTTTCCAAAACTGTGATATAGGTGGCAATAATCCCAAAAAAACACTGGATGCAAACCATGATGAAGTGCTCTCGTATCCTTGATTACAGACTTTGTAAAAATAAATACTAAAGAGAGGCCAGTGGAAACCAGATAAAATTAGTAAAAAAGTCTACTTGCTCTGACATTTATGATGAACACCAGGTGTCAGCTACTGTCTAAATAATACATGCCCCTCAATCATTTCTATGGGTAAACATCAAATATAAATCTATGCAAGATAGAGTGAGGAAAGGCTTATGATCTGCCAGCTAAGAGAACAGATCTTATCTTGACATTGATTTCATGACACACCCCTCATTGATCCCATAAAATTATAGATAAAGGCAAATTAAAAAATAATCATAAGATAAGAGAGTGCCAAAGCAAAGTGCATATTGTAAACTGGGAGCAACATTGTGCTCCTGCTCAGTGCAAATCTTAAAGTTTAGCATCAATCTTACATAAAATTGGGAATCTAGAGTTTAGACATAGATCCAATGGTACAATCTTGTCAAGGTCTGACTTAAGGCTAGTGTCAGGAAACAAATGGACAAGATGCAACAAAACTGGCAATCACATCTTAATTGCAGGCAAAAGTTGCTAGAATATTCTTCTATTATTCTGAGTTAAACTGAAAGATTACACAAAATTAAGGTCCAAACTATAGAACAAATTTTAAGGACTTTTACTAATACACAGAAAGCCAAATAGAAACAATAAATGAAGATCCAGAAATATAATCATACTCGAACTGAAATTCTTGGACCAACACCAGAAGGTGTGCCTATGTGGAATTTAGTAAACTCACCTCAACTTAGAAAAGCTATAAAGAACTTAAATAAACTAAATCAATGACAAAAAACCCAAGGAAAACATCAAAACAGACTCAACATTTTTTTGAAAAGAAAAACAGACTCAATATTAACTAGAGATGGATCAAAAAAGGTCAACAAATAAGCTCCAAATCTATTCTTCATATTTTCTTTTCCTTAAATCTTTTTTCTTCAATTAAAGGCATTTAGAGCATGCATCACCTTAACTTAAAAGTAGAATAGGCTAAGGAGCTAAAAATAGAAAGCAATGATGATTACTCTCCCTAATACAGTTAGATAGAAACTAAAACCAGTTGGCTGTTTGCACAATCCATGTAACTTTTTTAAGGAACTCCAGGAAAACTTAATGAACCAAAAGAGCATAAGCATTGCAAGGATGCCAGACTGCGGCAGAAACAAATGGAAAGACAACTCACAAATGAACCAGAAAGAAGGTCAGCACAGATGTACTAGTAATCCTAAATGGAAGAGGTCCACAAGAAAACATAACAATTACAAGCAAGAAGACTTGCCAAATTTGATATGTTGCTAAATTGTGTCAGAGATAGGAGAGCAAGAAGCATTTCTGCAAAAAAACAGCATAAGTTCAATTGAACCCCACATTCCTAGATATTGAAGAGGCAAAAGCAACCGCAGCATCATATATGCTTGGATCATAGGAATTGAATTATTCCTAGTCTTCAAAACCAAACATCTAGCCTCAAAAAGGCATGGCCAGGTCAGATCTTTCTTCACATAATGAATTTGTGACATTCAAACTTCATAAAAATATCTATGAAAAGCACATTCGCAAATTGAAATACTTGATCATAAATGAACTGAGAAAATACTTGCATGATAATATCATGAAGACAAGAGCATACTGCAACTTCAAGCTAATATGAACTGTCAATGTTTTTAGGTACAAATTCCAGAACTTCTATCATGATATAATAGTTTAAACCCACACCTAGAGAACTGATAAGTTGCCCAGAAGTACCAGAAATTATCATATTAGCATGATTTGAAAAATCACTCTAGCGATGTCCTTGAGCTCTCTGCATGTCATATGCACCCCAGGAACCAGCAGCAGGTCCATACTGAGGGTAACCATCCACACCACCTTGAACCTGAAATACAAGGGGAAAAACTAAATAACTAATCATTTTTAAGAGAAAAAAATCCATACATAAACAACTTGCACAGAAAGTTCCGATGCCAGTCCATACACATAATTTAAGCCCAGATGCCAAACACTGTTGAGAACATACATAAAACAACACAACTTACAGGATTCATGCCATAGTTGACAGGATAAGTTCCAGTATATCCAGCTTCAGGATTTCCATAATTTGGATTATAACCAGCAACTGCTGCAAATTTTGGACAAAAATTTAATTCATAAACAAGGGAAAACAACTAGTCAGTCTGTTACATAGACAGAAAAATCAAGCTCCATACCAATTGGTCAGCCTCATAAGCTTTAAGGAATCATCACTACTCAAATAATAAGAGTCGCTAGTTGAAGTAATCAAACAACTAACTAGACCGTAAGTAAAATGACATTGTCACAGCACTTCAAACCAATAACAATTAGCATTAAGAAGATTAAAGGAAAAGACAGATTGAGCAAAAACCAACCCAACTTCAGCGTAAAAACTTAAACTTGCAACCAAAGATCATATCATAAGAATAGCATACAGGAAAGAGCAGTACATGAAACATTGACATGTAAGCGGCAGAAATAAAATTCTCTATGCAGGAAAAATAAAGCTACGTAAAATATCTCAACAAAGGGCTTGCATACCAGGATTACTACCACCAGTGGCACGAGTTCTCTTCTCTGCATTAGCAATCTCTGCACGAAGCTTTTCCAACTCCCGAGCCATTGAGATCAATTTTTTCTCCATCACCTGGCCATGTTCGTAATTCTCTGCATATCCTTTCTTCTCATACTCGATGGCAGCTCTAAAGGTCAAGAAAGACACACAAAAATCATCAGAAAACCAAAGTCCATAGAACAATTTAACAAAGGCAGATAAAAGATCCAAGCATAAACTTTTATTTCATACTTACAACTATTGTTCATTTCCATGAGAACTCTCTTACAAAAAGAATTTGAAAAGGAAATTAAAAAAATTGCAAATTCTCACCTTGCACGTTGGAGTTCCTGTTTCACATTCTCAATCTCTGCCTTCAAAGCAGGTGCCTGTTGCAATTCGGTCATAATTCTAGCCAAATCTTGACTCATAACCTGAACCTGACCCGTAAGATCCTGCCTCACAGCATTAAGCTGCTTAATATCAGCATTAACCTTAACAAGCTCAGCTCGCATAGCCTCCGCCCCACGAAGATCAACCTCCAATTGAACCGACTTCTCATACATCTCCCTCATCTGAACATCCTTCTCCACCCTCAACGAATCCACATAACAAGCCATCCGCTGCAACTCATGCTGGGCAGCCTCCAGTTCCTGCTTTAATGCAACATGAGTCGCTGCCAGCCTCTGATTATCTGCAAGAAGGCCTTGAATTTCTTGAAGTTGAGCTGCAAGACGCTCTTCAAAGATTGCAGGGTGAGGAGGGAGGCCTCTAGGACCCAACCCGAATTGGGTTTCTCTTATTTCCTCAAGTAAAGCAGGGTGTGGCGGCATTGGTCCTAGACCTCTAGCAAATGGCGGTTCATGTACCGGATGCAATAGTCCGCCATGAGGAGGCCCTTTCATTGGAAGAGTCGGAGGCCCTCGATTCCTCCCAGACATAACTAAATTAGCTATCCTTCCTTAAAATCAATGTGAAAGAGTTCCAATAGATAAACCTGATAAAAATTATATCATTAAAATCAATTAGTCAAAAAATAAATTGAAACTTAACTAACAAATTATGAAACTAAAAGGCGGGCACTTTCTACAGTGTTAAAGTAGATTGCAACTCTAAAACCTAAACATAATGGGTGGTTTCATTACCGGGAAAACTAAAGAGTAAAAAAAAATCTATATATATGCATTATAGTAAAAACTTTCAATATAAACCCTAAAGCTGGCCGTTTAGTGACGAAGAAATTTCAGCGAAGAGCGAGACAATCACTTTCTCGGGAAACAAACACTAGGCTTTTTCATAAGCAGGAAAACGAATTTGTCAGGTAAATAATAAAAACACTAACAAAATTGCTTACCTTGAAATTTTAACAATTCTCGAGGAATTGATTTGAAAGAGAGGGGTGAAAGTCGAGAGAAAGTTCTCAAGAAATTGAGAATTTCCCTTCTATTTTTTCCCTCGAAAACCCTATGACTTGGGATTTATCAAAATTAAATTGATTGATTAATTTATTACATCGTTCGAGCAGTAATTTATTAGCTACGAAGAAAGGCTGAATTCCATTAGAATTCCAATGGTTCGATTATATTGAAAAACGTTTTCAAATACTTTATTTGAAAGATAAAATATTTCACAGATTAATAAAAGAAATATTTATTGATTATATAAAATATTTTATTAAATGTATTCATATAAATTTGATAAATATTAATATTTACTTTAAAATATAAAAAATTAATATTTAATTTTAAAAAAGTTTTAATTTAAAATATTAATATTTAAATTATTTAATATTATTACAATTTAAAAATAATTTTTAATAAATTCATTCAATGTAATTAATATTTTTATTTATAAATTAAATAAATTTTATTAATAATTATAATAAAAATATTTCATTAATCATCTTTTAATGAATACATATTTAAAGATATAAATTTTAAATATTTTACATAATTAATTAATATTGATATTTTACTCATATTATGATAAAAAAAATAATGAGATGAAATTTTTTTAAAAAAATAAAATTACTTTCATCATAATATGTGATTAAATATTTTTAAAAATATTATTATTAATTTTTTATTTTTATTTTTATTTTTAATGTAAAAATCAAACGACACCATTGTTTAGTAATAGCTCTTATTTATCATTTTAATCCCAAATAACTTCATTAGTGATTGTAAAAAATATTTTTTATAATAAAAAATGTTTTTGATAATTTATTTAAATAATACAAATATTAAATTTGCTTGTAAAATATTTTATACAGAAAAATTTTCCTTAATAAGTTATTTTCTAATTAGCATATGAATGCTAAAACCCAAACAATATATTTGGGTAAGTAACGTAGAGGCTCTGTCTGTTAATTTATTTCAATAAGTCCTAATTTAATTTTTAAAAAACATAATATTTAAAAAAATTTCTAAATTATTTTTAAAAAATCAACAAGCATTTATAATTTAATTGTATTCAATTAAGTTTTTATATTTTTATTTTGAATCAAATAAATCTTTATATTTTTATTATGAGATAAATTAATTTTTATAACTAATAATTTACTTAATTAAAATGTCACTTTTTATATTATGCTACGTGAAATTGATGTGGTATTAATGTGATATATTGATATATCATAATAGATGATAAAATAGTATAATGACATGATCATATCACATTTTTCACCTTTCACATTAGTATCATATGAGTATAAAATGATAATAAATATTTTAATTAATGATAATTAATCAATCATTAATCATAAAAACTTATTCAATCTACAATAAAAATATAAAAGTTTGATTAAACACAATAAAAAAATTTAATTAAATTTTCTTAAATAGTTTAATTTTTTTTAATATTATGCCTTTTTAAAATATATGAAAAAAGAACTTTATACCACTTATCAATTAATATCACAACTTACCAAAGTAATGTTAGGGTCAAAGTAAGCTTCAGCCAAAATGAATTCTTTTACTTTATGATTGAAAAAGTCACGAAAACATTACATAATTACATGAGATAGAATATTATATATCACATATAAATAAAGATTGAAAAATCTTGAGTTTATAAGTAAAAGTCTTATTCTACTTAATAAATTTAATTTTTTGGATTCTAAATATGGACTCATGACAAAATAATTTATCAACTATTTTATTCAAGTGACTTTTTGAATTTGCACTCTAATTTAGAGAATTTCTCTTAATAGTCCCAACTATTTTATTTAAGTTTTATATAACCCATTGCTTTTCTAAAAAAAAAGCACAATACCTAACAAAATCTTCAAATTATTTAAAAAAATTCAAATACGTCTTTATTTTTATCACATTTAATTAAGTCTCTACACTTTTATTTTGAATCAAATAAATCTTTATATTCTTATTTTGAGGCATATAAGCTCTTATGACTAATAGTTAACTTAGTCAAAACTTTACTTATCATTCTATACCACGTGGCATTAACATTGTATGTTAACATGTTATAATAAATAATGGTATGTCATATGTTATAATTGATGATAATAAGACATATTAATGTGATATGATATAACATAATTATAGAGTATTTTTCACTCTTTACATTAATGTCACATCAACATCATAGATATATAAAATGATATATGACATTTTAACTAATCAAAATTACTCTACCATGATTTAAAATGACTTATTTAATATAAAATAAAAATATAAAAATTTAATTAAATATAATAAAATAATAATAATTTATTTAAATTAAAGTTCTTCGAGTATGATGATAAAAAAAAAAAAAAAGACTCAATGAACAAATTGGGTCCCTTATTTGACTTCAAACTATTTAACTTGGGTTTATATTGTATCAAGTTTGCCCAAGTCTTGACCCACCTCGTTGGGCTTTTTTTAAGCCCAAATTTAACAATTTGAATGGACTTCAATGGAGCTTATAAGTTACAACGGTGTCCAAACAACATTGTACCTTTATTCAAATAACCTCGTTAATTTCTTACTTTTTTTTTTGTTTATATAGAAAGGGAATAATAATAAAAAAAACCTCATCATTCCAACCTTGCATGTCTCGTGAATTGCCTTTATTGCTCTGAAACGGTGGGATATGTTTCCAACGGCTAAACACACAAGGTGAATTAGCAGCAGGCCATGGCCTTCAGGGCCCAACCGGCGGTGGCCCTCATGTGAAGCTCACGCCCATTCCACTTCCCTCAAATTAATATCTTTTCATCATATATACAACTATGTTTCACCTCAATTCAACTTTTGTGTTTTTTACCGAGAATCCATGGAAGCTTTGTGGGATTTGGAGGAGAAATGGAAGCTGACAACCCAAGAAGCTGTCCTCCTCTTAGCCTGTGCCGCCTCCGCTGTTGTAGGGCTTTGTGCTGCGACGGTCCTCAAGAAGAAAAGAAAGGCCCAAAAGAAGCGAATGGTGGACCGGGACGGGGTGGCAGATGGAGCGGTGCAAGCAAAATGGTGTGAGCCTAGTTGCAACTGGGTCTCGGCTAAGAGGGTGTTGATGGGATCGGTGATGTGGAGCGGAGCTAATAGGTGGGGGGAGAGGAGCTTCGGTTGGGAGGAGAGGCCACCACCGTTGCTTGGCTTGGAAGGGTATGACTCATGTGCAGGGTGGCGAAGCCATAACTCAGACTCACCGGTATGGCAACGGCCGATACTTATGGGGGAGAAATGTGAGCTCCCACGGTTTAGCGGACTCATTTTGTACGATGAAAGAGGCCAGTTGCTTGATCATTCTGTCAAGGGAGGTTCTGACCAGCAAGATACTCTCCAGGTGATCAGCACTTCCATAGCCAAAAACCCTTTTTAACACAATGTTTCCACCATGAACAGGATTTAATGCATTTAAGTAGCAAATGCACTTCTCGACTCACATACCAGAAAATTCCAGGACTTGGAAGCTCATCTCTTAGCTAACATGGCATTGGTTATCTTTTGCAGGAGAAAACCACTGCAGCAGTGAGAACAACTCTGAGGGACCTGCTCTAATTTTTCTTTGTAAACCAGTTGTAACAAGAAACAGGGTTTTCAGGAATGTGATTGAGCTTCTCCACTTATGTACAAATTGTCCCATGTCCTCTTGCATCTCATATATTAGTATCTAATAGAGCTATTTCATCTTTAAGTAGTTATTCAGTCACAGTTGCTCAGGCTAAAAGAAAATCTTTCCACATGATTTAGCCTACTAATACTTGAGTTCATAATCAGCAGCTTCACTCCAGTCAAACCCGTCATCGGTCTCTATGATCAAATCTAATAGACTATAAAAGGCCACATATAAATTATTTGCTTCTCTGCTTACAGTTGAAAGCAACTCCAGATACCAATGGCATCCTGTTTATGATTACCAAAACCAGTATTTCTAACCATTTGAATCCGTCACTTTAAACCAAGACGAAAAATCCATCTACTAGTATCATGTATCGACATCGATATCTTTACAGAGTTTCCGAATGTCCTACCTATAGCAGCTGAAGATTTTAGCCGCAGCAGTTACTTCCGGCGATATCCATTTTGCCATTAGACTCTAACTTCTAAAGATGAAATTACCAAGCAATTCTTATTATGACAACTGAAACAAAGACTAAGCTGAGAACAACATGATTGCCCGGAATTCGTCCTATCTTAACCAATGACACCCTCAATAGCCAAAAGCATTAAAAGTCCACTAATTTTTTCTAGATGAACTTTGAAGACACAAGTATTTGCCTTAACATGCTAATTTCTTTCATACATTTGTTTTCAGCTTCATCAACAGAAAACCTTTAACAGAATAACATAATTTATGCAGAACTTATGAGAATTCTTCTCGGTTCAAATTTCTAGCTTTTTAGAACTCATTAACTCAAAACATTCACCGTAATAATTCGAGCTCTGCATGGACTTCATTCAAGTCTCATCACAACATAAAAACCGCAGGCTATAACCCATGAAACATTGATTGTATACTCTCCCTAACAGCGGTTTTAATAACAACTTAAAATGTAACCTCCAAAACCCTCCCTGCGAGTGGTAGCAAATCAACAAGGGCAACAATGACATGAGAATTAAACAAAAAAAAAAAAGAAAATAAAATGCTAACTAGAAACCAGAAAGAAATTTAAAACAATAGAGCCCTGTGTTTACTGAGGTTAAAGACAGAAAGTGAGGCTGACATAGTGCAAACAATTACGTGATGCAAGCACGTCTGACAGCCTAAAATGTCTTCTGGTCCTCCATACTATCTAGTAACAACAAAATTTTGAACCATTTTTTATAGACAATTTGAATTCAGAATTTATACTTGTAAATCTACTAACAGCCATATGCTGAAATGATCTCCATACTTATAAAGAGAGTCATTCATATGGATTCAAGTATGCACAATTTTAGCAATTCATATAACTCTTTGCTTGAGATAATTTGACCTACTTTTAATCATGCTCAAAAGTAGTTATGTGCAAAAACAGTAGCAATCTCTAGTCCAGTCAATCTCAAACTGCAATCACTTTTTAGTTCACTCACGTAAGCAGACAAGCCTTGATGACCCGTCTGTTACTAATGAAAGTGCCAACACCCTTTATTTAGAGAAAGAATTGGAACATTTTTCAAACAATAAACCAAATGAAATAATACATCAGGATTTCCATCACTATACACCCTCAGCATCAAAACTTTCTGCCTGCACATCATCGAGAAATCCTCTCAACATAGAAACAAAACACATAAGCAATTACCTTTCGTAGAGAAAGCAACAATTACGCATGTGACACTATTAGCGGTTCTCTGGAATCTTCCACAGATTTTCTTTTATAGTAGAAGTACAACGCTAGTTGTACAATCCCCAAGATAGTTCCTATTCCATTTGGAACCTGAAAAATAGAGGCAATATTAACACATGGATAGATAACTTTTATATAGAAAACAAGGTGTTATGAATGTTAAGAGGAAGCTTACATAAATAAAGGCATCGAAGTTAAAGATGCCATATAGGAAGAATGAGGTGCTCATCAAGAATGTAGAGAGGGAGAGATAAAATGGCATGTATTCAACACTCTTTGTTTGAATTACCAAATTCTGAAGACAAAGATCAAGTCAGACAACATTTAATTAAAACTTTAAGCAATTTTAGATAACATTTAACGTAGAGAAAAGCAGTATTAGTGCTTTTGCTCAACTTACAATTATAAACAATGGGGAAGCAAACATTGATATGAGAGAACCACAACTCAATAACCCAACAAAGATCCACCGTGCTTCTCTATCAACTATTTGCATGCTCCCAGCAACTATGATTGCAAGGAGGCCAAAAACTCCCAGTAGCAATCCAAGCATCCTCATCTGACATCAACATAACAAATGAATATGCATGACAGTGCAGAGTGAAAAAGACTGCTCTTAGGAAAAGAAATTAACAATAACAAAATTGCACATAAGTTAGAAAGAACAAGTAACCTTTTTCTCTTTATCAGCATATACAGTGAAGAGGATAATGTAGGCTATCTGAAAAACTGCACCAATTGAATTGACCGTCATAACCAGTACATTGTCATGAGATATTAAGGGCGTGCCATACCACGTGCATATCATGCAGTTCAAGAGGGCATATACATAAGGCAATCCTGAAAACTGCTCTGTTGACTGGTTTCTGATAATTCTCCTAAATGTGGGTCTGAAAATTTAAAGGAAAAGCAATAACAAAATAATCAGAGCACAAGATATAACAATATATTCATTCTGATTACAATTTCTTACAACCTGAAATAAAATACATAGGAGTGGAACATACATGGGTGACACAAACAGCCCAAAAGCAAAGATATTCCCTGCAATAAACAATGATCAAGATCAGATGGAGTTGTTTTAAATGATTTTTGCAATCAGAAATTTTTATACATAAAGCAAACAGCCCCTAAATCTATAATATGCAATTATACTATATTTCATCAACAAACTTGATACAAAGGTATCATTAGTGCAAGTAAAGCAAGCTAGCCAGAGGTGGAGGGGGCAGTATGCCATTCAGAACATAGAGTCTTAACGTGGAACAATAACAAACTATCACAAGTGCAAGCAATATTTTGTGTTGATGCCTCTGAAAGATCATTGCAGCTCAATTTTAAACTCTAAGTTAAGCTACAAACGATAGATATCAATCTTTGAAGATGCTTCCATTTCCGTTAGAAGTTAGACATAGAAATTAAATGGTAAGATTACAAAAAATTTAATATAATACTAAATAGAATTGATGTTTTCTGCTCCAAGAAGTCACATTTAAGTACCCTTAACAAAAATGTTTTCCTTTTACCAATAGGCGTCCTCACATAGCAAAGGATCAAAAGCATAGAGGGAATGCTAGGGTATTCTTCTAAACATTGATCAAATAACAATTGCAGTTTCATTCTTTAGAAAATATTGCTTTCCATGTTTTAGCTGAGAGGTTTCTATATGTAGTAAACAAAGCTAGAATCTAATGAATTCCTGCTCTAAATGGAGAAAAGATTAAATAATTTCAAATGAAAACAGGATTCTTTGATGGAAAGCCAATGAAAGTTAATTAAAAGTTTGAAAGCTTTAACAAACTGAAAATGACAACCAAGGAATATCTCTTTCTCAACTCCATATTACTCCCTAATTTCCAGAAATCAATACGAGTTCCCCCAAAATAAACTGATACCCAACAAAGAAGTAACACTTTTTTGACTAAACAGAAGGAAGTTAGAATTTGAAGAATAAATTCTGCATAAAAAAGATAAAATTTTTAGCACTCCCAAGAACAATATCAATATTTTCTGCAACTTTAAACAAGACCCAATTCCCAGTAAGACTCATGATCATCCCTCAAACTTCAAAAATCTTCAAGAATGGACTAAAGGGTCTTTCTTAATCCAATCAAAAAATAAAAACAATATCAGTCTCTAACAAAAAAAAATGTACAAGAAAATCAATTTTACAAGAAAGAAAGAGTAGATAACAAAATAACAAAGAATCAGATTAAAGAAGAGAAGATTTATTACCGGCGATGCCAGCTGCATCTCTGCAGACCGTGAAGGTATCGGTTAGAATAGAAACAAACATCAAAGATATAACTCTCTTACAGACGAAAAGATCAAAATGGTACAGAAATACAGACCAAACAACACCAAACCAAAAACCAAGCGTTTATCTCAGAAAACTTTTTTCTCTCTCCAATCAAACTCTCTCTCTCTCTCTCTCTCTCTCTCTCTAAATTCTTTTCTTTTTCTCGTTAGAGTTTGTTCTGTCAACATTGCCACACGCTTCGGAAAAAAATGTGAAAGATTAGAGAGTCCCCCGTCCCCACAAAACTTCCATCTTTTGATGTCAAGGTCAACATCCAATGTAATAAGCTTTGTTTCTTGTCTTTGTCATCCTTCTTAATCAGCTTTGTAATTTTGCAGTAAGTTTTAATGAATGAAAATTTGTTAAATTGGATTAGCTGTTTAACTGTGTCCATAGATATCTATTAACAAAAGCCTGAAGCAATAAACTATATATTGACAAACAATTATTGCCAAGTGAATAATAAAGTAGTCCCACTGGGTCTAGGTAGCATTTCATTTTCAAAGCTTTCTTCTTTCTTGGCTCTTTTATTTTGGCATGTGCTCAGTTTTTATAAGTCTTCAAAACGATATTTTTGGATAAGTCCACTTTCCGACAAAGGGATGAGCTGGCACATGCACCTGAACCACGGGTGTATACTCCTAGCTTCAAGTTTGATCTATCTAGTTGTCAATCTCATCCACGTTACTCTATTTTTCATTTTTATAACTAGTTTAGTCATTTTTCAGCTCTTTCTTATTTTCACTACCATTTGTTTTTATTAGCTTTTTTTAAAAAATAATTTGAATATTGATCTTTATTTTTTAAATATCATATGAAATTAAAATTTGACATAATATTTAAAAGTACTTTTAAATTATTTAGAAAAATTTAAATATATTCTTATATTTTTGTACGTTTAATTAAATTATTATATATAAAAAAGAACTCAAAAGAATATAATAAAAAAAACTCTGCTCAATTTTTTAATGTTTCAAAATAATGAAATCAAAAAAACCTTCTTTCAGTTTTAGAATGAAATATAAAGAGATTATTTATACAGATAGTTCATCTTAAACCTATTTGTAAAGCAAGTAAATTGAAAAAGAAAGTATTATAATCTTAGACTTCTTTGGAGTGCTAGAAAAATAAATAATATAAAAATAAATATCTTAAAAATTAAGTTTACTTGTTGTACAAGCAAAATAATCAATAAATAAGGAAAACTTAAATATAAAAAGTATTCTAATTACTTTAGAATATTTTACTTGGTTGTTATTCTTCTTAATAGCCATTGGATCCCTTCATGCAGGATGTCTTGTGCGTGTCTGTCCATGTGTACCATATGCGTAAGGCTCTCTTACATATGTGTCCCACTCTTACATATGTGTCCCATATTCTAAGTTAATTCTCCTTTACTCCCATTCAAGTTAGAGCATGAAGATTGGAAATGCCTAACTTGCCCAACAAAGTTTGAAATTGCTTTCAACTAGGTGCCTTGTCCGAGCGCAATTTTAAGGTATCAAAGAATTCATATGACAGCATCAAAGTGTGGTTGTTTCGGACACTTATATTATTTGGACGTGTGCAAGCTGCTGCTGCGCTCTGTCTGTGCATTGTGTAACTAATATCTAGATGTATGATCATGAGATAAAATAATCTACTAATGAGACAATTATATTATTTGAGATCATCAAAAGTTGTTTTAAATCAAGATCAAGTTTATGTTGTTGATTCATGGGTGAGGAAGACGATTTGTAACATGAATAATTTGCCACATCAATTCTCAAAAAATATTTGAGTTTACCAAGATCCTTAATGTGAAAATTGGTATCCAAATACTATTTTAGTCAAGAAATCTTAACATTTGCAAAAAGCCTGACACAGCCCATTAAAAGACTTACGAAGATGACAAACACGCAACTCCCTCTATTTGGCAAAGCTTTGAGGAATCTTCATATAGACTTCTTGATAACAAATTTGGCCACTAAGGTGCGTCTTTTTCATACAAGGCCTTCAAGTGTACGAGTCTCTTAGTCAAGACCCTTTGTGCGAGGCTCATGAGTTCGAGGTCTTGAGGTTGTGGCACTCCTGTGAAAAGCTGTCTAGGTAGCATCCATTGTGTGCATGGCCTCTTGAGGTGCAGGCTAGGTGTGCATGGCCCACTGGTGTGGGACTCTTGGGTGTGCATTGTCTATGCACTTTTTCTTCTCGTGTGGTGCCATGTTCACACCTTTTAGGTGTGTCGTAGGTGCACGTTCCAAGTATATGGGACTATGTTGCACATAGCTCCCTTGGTCACAAGGCTGTGATGTGCGCAACCTGCTGTCTGGCAAGTTGTGTCCACGTGCGCTTTGAGCGTAGGGATCTTGGTGTGTACGCCCTATGCGTGCTTTTGCACATGCGTCAACACTAAGGTATGCAGTCCTTTCACGCTTTTACTAGTTGTGCGTGATTTTGACACGTTGGGTTGGCATGCCAAGATTGTCGTTCCATGTCTGTGCTATAAGGCTCGTTTAGGTGCTCCCTACTGGTGTAGCTTGGATCTACAAGTGTGTGGGTGTTTGGAAACCCTCAATCAATGTTGACCTTATGCTTGTTGTCAATGAGCTCGGTTGATTTTTTACCTTTGTAGTTTTATGAGTTCATTTGATGTAGTTTCTTGTTGACTGTCTCAGGAACACTTATAACTTTGGATGCATCCATTCTAGTAAGACAATGGATTGCTTCAATTCATATATTTGGGGCACAATTCCCTGAGTAAATCACCCATCTAAATCAACCATATTTTGATTGTAGTATCCGCATGCGCAACATCTTTTGTAACTCCTCAAAAAGTGAGTTGATGAGCCATGATTTTATCATCACATTGCTCTAGATCTAAGATTGGAAATTTCTAAAATTGGCATTGAGTTTTGCTATCAAATCATCCTTGGAAAATATTAGAATCATCGTCTAGTGGTTAATCGGCAATATAACAATCAAGTAAGGCGTTGAAGTAAACGGTAAAAAATAAATTACATATGGCGTCGAAGCTACCAATAGAGAATAATTCACGTACGATGTCAAAGCTACTAACAAAAAATAAATCAAAGGGAAAGCACATCACTCTACCATAACCAAATCAACGTCATGGTTGAAAAAAAAAAGAGTTAGGTTATGAATCTATTTTGATACCATAAAAAATAAAATAACATAGAAGAATGTTGTGAAAAAAAAAAAACTTTGCTCAATTTTATAATGTTTGAAAATAATAGAATCAGAAAAAACCTTATTCAGTTTTACAATGAAACATAAAGAGACTATGTATAAAGATAGTCCATCTTAAACTCACTTATAATGTAAGTAAATTAAATAAGAAAGTATTATAATCTAGACTTCTTTAAAGTGCAAGAAAAGTAAACGATATAAAAATAAATATTTTAAAAACTAAGCTTATTTGTTGTGCAAGCAAAGCAATCAATAAGTAAGGAAAACTTGAATATGAAAAGTATTCTAATTACCTTATAATACTTTACTTGGTTGCTACTCTTCTTTGTAGCTATTAAATCCCTTCACTCATATTAATGAAGATTTAAGTAAAATTTGATATTACATGATATGAACTCATATTTCCAATGCCAAAAACATATCTATTAGGGATAAAAAAAAATCTTTATTTATAAATTCAAGACTCATTATATCCCTTATTGATATGAGATTTATGACATTGAAATTCAAAATTTATAAACTTTATGTTTTAAAATTTTTTAACATTATAACTTCATTAAAAATAATAATCAAAATTAAATTTATTTAATGGTATAATATATTCAATTGGAACTTTTTAACTACTTTTATTCATATAAGCCAGCTCATTTTCTTAATATCTGACATTGCACAATTTGATTCAGGTAACTTTGACTTTTGTGTTGACTGAGATTTGCTTGTCTCTATCAAAAACCCCAAAAGAAAAACACATTGATCAAGTTGCCTTATTTATTTAGTATTAATTCAATGAATAAGAAACTTTACTATTAAACTTTTTAATGAATACTTAGCAATGGCCGTAAGTAATAATAAAATATGAATACTCTCAAATACAATAGGATATTTATCATTATCATACATCATTTTTATTGGTTTCTTTAACACTTTATGATTTGTATCTTGCCAAGGAGTAGTCCTTCACAAAGGGACTTCTTCTTTTTCAACAATGCCTTCTGTTATCTATCTTATATACTTAATATTTCATTCATTTCTATATTTTCTCTCCACCCTAATTAATAGAATAAAAAATTATAAATTATAAATTATATTAAGGTAATCTTAAAAGGTGCATATTTTAAACACTCATTAAAATCATGCCGTTTTATAATTTTTTAAAGACATATAATAACAAGTATATGCCCACTCACACCAAATCAATTCTCGTAAACTCACCTTCATCTTGGTTAATTAATTATTTAAAGAATAATAATTAACTTATAAAAAGAATAACCCCTAAAAACTCTTAAACATTATCATGAAATTAGGTGAAAATATAGAAAAAAAAAAAAGAAAAAGCAGCCGCAGCAGTAGCATCAGCGTCTTTGTTAATTTGTCGGCCTATTTCCCCTGTGCCTTATCAAGGATGAATCTAGGCTGATTTTATCAAAAATTTTATCAATTAACAAATGGGTTAATAATTGTTCTTTTTCTTAATTTCCAAAGGTTTTTTCATTTCCATCTTAATATGGGTTTTAAAATATTAATTTCACGTGTTATATGTATATATTGAAATATATTGGCAATTGCTCTTAAGAAAAAATATTAATTATTAAAATTGAAAATTTTATCATAAATTAAATCATGAATCAAAGATTGAGATAAATGAAATAAAATGAAATGAAGTTGTTGATTATCACTCCATTAATACTGTTAACTTTTTTCTATTACTTTTAACTTTTTTCCATCTCAAACACAATGATTTGGTAAAGGCACAATTACAAAATATTTTGAAAGGGAGAGTGCGAGGCAGAGGCGAAACTAACCAATTTTTGTTAAGAAAGTCAAAAACGAAAAAAAATAAAAGTTAAAAAATTTTAAAATTAATATGTTGAATTTAATCAAAGATCAAAAGATTTATAATAAATAATAATTTTATATAACATCTAAATAAAAAAGTAAAAAAAAAACTTATAATAGTTATTTAAGAAAATTCTGCTCGATGATATTTTTTAAATTCAAATTCATCATTCAATATTCTTATTTATTTATATTTAAACTTAAAAAATAAAA